TTTTAAAATTATGAGAATTTAATAATGAATATTTGGAGACTTTTGCCAATACAACTACATTTGGTTGAAATTTTAAATTATCTATAAGTTGTGAAATTAATTTTTTTAAATTAGTTATTTAATTTTTATCTTTATCTATAGACCATGAAATTAATTTTCATAAATTATTTATCAGTTTTTATATGTTTATCTATATGAAGGAATTTTGAAATTCAAATCTTTATCCATAAACCATTAAATTAATTTTCATTTTAATTAATCAAACAAATAGAAAATGGAGGAAAATAGAAAATATGAAAGACAATCAAAGAGGGTTGCCACGTAGGAAAGAGAGAGTTTTAAAATTATGAGAATTTAATAATGAATATTTGTAGACTTTTTACAATACAACTACTACAAATGAAGGGCAAAAAAAAGGAGGCTAAGTTGGGGACGTGAAGAACAGTATTGAGATTAATTTTCTCAGTTAGTTTAATAAATCATTTTCCTGCAATTGGTGAAAAACTACCATCGGCTATTTTGATTTTGTCATGACCAGAACAAGGGAAATAGGTACTAAATAAATGGGAAAAACTAGTCATGTGATCGGAGGCACCGGAATCTATGATCCACGGAGAGAAGTTTAGGCAAGAGAAGGCTTTAGGATTTCTACCTGTTTGTGCCAACAAAACACTAGGAGTACCGGTTGAGGAGTTGGATTTTATCAGCTTTAAGAGTTGATCAATCTGCTCTTTGTTGAAGGGACTTGAATCGGCTTCATTAGCGGTAGGAAAGCCACGATTCTTCTCTCCTTGTTTTCTGCTTTTCCAGTTGACAGGTTTGCCATGGATCTTCCAACACGTTTCGCGTGTATGGCGAGGCTTGTTGCAAAAATCACACCAGACCCGTGGCTTATCCTCAAACCTGCGCTGGTAATTTGCAGCCTTGTTGGCCGCAGCATCGCTAATTAAAGCAGAAATTTCAATTGATTCACCATTACCTTTTTTCTTAAGCATGACGCTCCTTCGGTTCTCTTCCCTTCTGACTTCGGCAAATACTTCGCCAATGGATGGGAGAGGAGGTCTGCCAATAATTCTTCCTCGCACTTCATCGAACTCAATGTTGAGGCCGGCAAGAAACTTGTAAATACGGCTGTCTTCCACAGTTTTCTTGTGGTGGTTGCAGTCGTCAACCGATTTCCATTCGTATGTGTTGAAGATGTTAAGATCCTGCCACAACCTTTTCAACGAATTGAAATATTTGGTGACGGAATCATCTCCTTGACGAATCTCTCCCAACTTCAAAGTTAATTCGAAAACTTGAGATTGATTTCCTAGGTCAGAATACATCTGACTAACATTATCCCACAATTCTTGTGCAGTAGTATAGCACATGTAATTAGAGCTTATATCCTCCTCCATGGAATTGACCAACCATGTCATAACCATGGAGTTTTCAGCGTCCCAACTGTCGAATAGCGGATCATTAACAGCAGGAGGCTTTTTGTCACCAGTGATGTAACCGATCTTTCCTTGCCCACGGATATACATCCGGACAGATTGTGACCAGCGGAGAAAATTATCACCATTTTGGCGGATGGGGGTGATTTGGACAGAGTGAGAGTTGGACGTTTTCACCGGAATGGCAGCGGCAGGGGTTGAAATGGTTTCGGACGTGACTTCCGACATGGCTATGACGGTTTTAGGGCTGCTGTGTTTTTTGTTGCTCTGATACCAACTTAGAAAATATGAGGAAGAAGAACTCCGAAAATATGAGGAAGAAGGAATATATTTCTGTTATATTCAAAACTTCTTATCTTACAAGACCAAATGACACTCCTTATATAGGAGATATTACAAACATCATTATAACCCATTATATGCCACTTACATATTATATATTACCACTATCTACTACTAACATATTATATACATGCCACCATCTACCACTAACACCACTATCACATATTCTATACATGCCACTATCTACCACCAACACCACTATCACATATTCTATACATGCCACTATCTTATTATTAACACAAATTTTCAGCATTTTCTTTCAAAATTGATTCTGAAAACTAAACCAAATGGACCCTGAAGTTCTCTCTGTATGATATCTTCATGATTATTAGTTTCCATGGGGAAAGTGGAGAGTCATTTGGAAAGACTAATACCAATCTCATTGGTTGATATCATTTTCAGATCTTTGTGTGGGTTTTTGCATGGTTGTTCAAGTTTTTTTACCTTGAAGGGCTTTGTTTGTGATAAAAATATTAGTGTAATACTTTATTTATCAAATATATATATATATATATTATTGTAATACTGGTTTATCCTTTTATTCCCATTGTACTTAATTTCTTTGAATGGAATTTATTTTTACTCTCATCAAACAATAAATTATGAGATGAATGTTACCTATTTTCTTTTCCACATTCATCCATGGCGTGCAAATACAGTTAGGAATACAATGGGTCTGCTTTCCCTGTTTTTTCTGTGGATAATGGACATGACACAGCTATCTTTGCTCTATTTTAGTTTGTCGGTCTTGTTTATTGTTAGCCTTGCTGCAAGGTGCTATGACAATATAATTATGAGAAAGCCAGTAAACTTCATGTACTAATTGTGGTTTTTATGTCCAGTTATTATGGTATGCATAGGTGAATGTGTTAAAAATATACACTAAAGGCACTAGAAGGGCACAACCTTGTACGCTGGTATACATAAAAAAGCTAAATTCTGTCAAACCTACTTTAAATCTCCAATAAAATTTACCAACTAAGAAGCATGGACACCATTCGTTGAACACACAAATCCAAACATCTTATTATTTATTTTTAGATCAAGACAGGCATTAGACAATTGGGGATAAACATGTTCATCGTTTAGGCACACATAAAACTCATTACAAGTTTAAAGAAATTTATTTAGGTTCTAATGTTTAAAAAAAAGGAAAAAAAGAAGAAGATTTATGTCAATTAAGCCTTCCGTTTTTTTATCAGACTTTAGGAAATATTGGTTTTATTTATTTATTATTATTATTTTTTATATGAATGGAATACACGTATATGACATATAGTTAATATGTATAACCAACAATGGTGTGGGATGTGTCGAACACTTTTCATCAGATACTTCTAATATATTTGTATTTAATATTATCATTATATGCATATGTTGTTGTGCAATTGTTTTAAAATCAGTAAAATGCCTTTTTGACACTATACGTTACATGTAACACCATTTTATTTCACATAATATATTAGAAATATAAAAACATGACCTTTTTATGCTGAGTCTATGTAGACTTAAATTTGAGATTTAATGTGTCTGACCTCTAGATACATACTCACACCGAACTCCCGTACCCTAGTCCATGTAACATAGGTTGTATTAGCATGTTTGTGTTCACGCTTCTTACTCCAACAACATAAAAGATAATTCATGAAATTTCCTTGTAAACCAAAAATGTAAACTGTGCAGAAGATAATGTATTATTGACTTGTACTCTTGCATGCATGTTAATATGTATCTATTTGCTGGCATCTTCTTGAAGCTCACAACCACATCTGTATGCTGAAGTGATATTTGTGTTCTAGGGGTGATGATTCTACATTGACCTACTTCATTGTGCCTGAAAAGACTGGATTTAGAGTTCAGAGGGGATTTTTAACTCCTAATCAATGAAAATCCATACAAATTTTTGTACAAGAAGTTCAAGCAAATTTGTTTACTGTAAAAAATTGTGATTCGTGGATGTTGATTGACACAGTTGGCTTCTTACGTTAATTCATTGTTGGATCTTCATTTTATGACCTGGTTCAGACATGAAATATTGGTTTTATGGTCCCACAAACTGCTTTGGATGGGGAAAGTAGGTGTTGCCACTATTATGTATTGCACTTGCAAGATTTAATAAAATTCTCATTTTTAGATTTTGTTGTCATTTTGAAAATGATTTAGTGGATGTGTAATGTTGGAAATATCAATCTGTTATGATGTGTTTGTTGTTATAGGTGCTTGAAGTGATGAAGGAGTGCATTTGGTCAATCCCCTACTGTCAGAAACTGGGTGAGGTGGTCCGCAATATTTTGTTTTGTGATTCTTCAATCCACAGTGCCCTCTTTCGAATTGTTTGTACAACTGCACAGGCCTTAGAGGTCAGTCTTGCTGTCTTCCTTACTTGGTGATTTGCATAATTGATTATTGATGCCTGATCATTTTGTTTTCCACATTAAATTTGGTCTATCTTTTTACAGAAACTCTATGTCAGCCGTCTTTGTGAGTTGATGGAGATTGAAGGATTACAGCTGTCTATATGTTCTGTGTTAGATATTCTCTTCAGCATGCTTACTGATCTTTCTCAGGTATGTGTCAAGGTTTAGACATTGATTATTGTGATCCTTGCTAAGTCGGAATGATTGTCACACAGTATTGTACCCTGTTAATTTTTCTTGGCTAAATGAGAGGTAATCTCGTTTTTCTCAAATGCATGTATTCTCATGTATCCAGCTTTTATCTTTCCTTTTCTTTTCTTTCCTCTTGTGGATATCTGTTGGTCTACAGTTTTTGTGAAGTTAATGGAGAAAAAATAGCCCCCACTCTCTCTCTCTCTCAGGCACGCATGTGCACTTGATTTTTCTGTTTCTCAGTAAACAATGTATATTCATTGTCTTCAGAAAGTATTCACTCTATGATTTATTTGTTGTGCCTGCACATCTATAGTCTATATTTTTATATATACATTCACTGCAACTATGTACATGATGTATATCTGAATCTTGTTCACTTCCGTGACACTTTTTCTCTGTCAGATCTATTGAGGATGGTTTTATGAGGTCTTGACATAATATATCTGTTAAAATCCACCTACTCTCCACCTACTTCACCCACTTAAACCTACTCCACTAAACCTAACCCACTACACCACTACCACATCACCTACTCCACTAAACCTAACCCACTACACCACTACCACATCACCTACTCCACTAAACCTAACCCACTACACCACTACCACATCACCTACTCCACTAAACCTAACCCACTACACCACTACCACATCACCTACTCCACTAAACCTAACCCACTACACCACTACCACATCACCTACTCCACTAAACCTAACCCACTACACCACTACCACCTCCACTTCACCTACTCATTACCTACTACACACTCACCCTCTCCTATATATAGGAATCACTACACCACTACAACCTCACCAGCTGGGAGTTTAAATGCTGCACCTCATTTGTCCTACTCTGCAGCCGGTTCGACAAATTTGTGACCGCCGTCATGGCTTTCAACACATGCCTTCAGAGTATACTGATTGGCCCACATCCGACTGCACTGCCATTTCTTTGCTCCACCGACCGCATCGGAAAGTTCAA